AAGGGTCTGAGTTCAATCCCCGATTCCACAAAAAAAAAAAAAAAAAAAAAAAGAAGGGCAGAGATTATTTCTCATCTAATTTCTTCTGTGGCCTGATGGAGTTGTTTCTTGACTTCAGTTGCTATTATTCCAGAAATTTCAGGTGTGATTTTCAAGTTCTTCTATGTCCTTGTCTCCTGGACTGGTTCTGGGTGGGTTAAAGGTCTAAGATTGCCTTTTGCTCTTTTGTGTTGAAATTTTTTAGGCTCACAATGATCATCTGGACTGAGTAGTGATGAGAGGGTTTTTTTCTTTCAAATAGGGGACAAAAGTAATAAAAACAATACAGAATTTTCTAATAAGATAGGAAATTAGCAATGTTTATTATATTGCTTGTTATCTTCAAAGTAGCTGCATAGATTACCAGATATAGGCATACAAAATGGATCAAACAGTATAAGCACAGACTGTTCCTTTCAGTGAACTAATAGAAATTAGTAGTGTAATTATCTTAGCTATCTTGTGTATATATGTACATTTTTTATTTTTCTTTCCTTCATTTGCCCTTTTCCCCCCTTCCAGTTGTTCTTTCTTTTTGGCAGTTTCTTTCCTTTCACAATATCTATAGCACCTTTTGGATCTTATTCATTCTTTCAGGTTCTTACAGAGGGAGACAATACAGTGTGTACACAGGTGGGTCTGGTTTATTTCACTTATGAGTCTGGTCTCTGGTTGCATCCATTTACCTATAAAAGCCTTGAGTTTATCCTTTTTTGTAGCTGAATAGAATTCCATTGCATAGAAATACCACATCTTTTTTAAATCTAGTTCTCAGTTGCTGAGCATTTGGGTTGTTTCCAAAATTCAGTTCTGACAAATTATACTGCTATAAACATGGGTGCATCTATATTACTGTGGTATGATGGTTTAGTTCTTCTGGAAAAATGCCAGAAGGGGAATAGCTGGATGGAATGGGACTACTAATCCTGTTTTTTTTTTTTTTTTTTGAGTAATCTCCATGGTCCATCATATCCTGAAATTGTATCTTATTTATATGTTTATGACTATATTTTTACACATAGAACTGAGTTTGTTGGTTTGTGTATTTTTAAATGTTGCACAAATGGCACGTTGTATATATTCTTTCTGTAACTGGCTTTTTGAAAAAATCATGTTTAAGATAAACATACTTATCAACATACTTGTCAACATACAATTCTGGATTTTTTTACATTTTAACCATTTATAGTATTTCATAAGTGAACAAATTTTTCCTTCATGAGAGACAATTTGTTTTTTTCTCTATTGTAAACAATGCTGTATTGAACATCTTTGTCATTGTTTCCTTGAGTGTATAGGTTTGACTTTTTTTATCCTTTTATTTGTTTGGTGCAGGTTCTCACTACGCAGCTCGCTATCCTCCCATCTCAGCCTATCCAGCACTGGCGTTAGAGGTGTGCACAACCACTGCTGGCCTTGGTGCCTGGCCAGGTGCACCTGGGCTCTGGGGTGGCATGGTGTGCGGTACCTGGGATTGAACCTGGGTCCTTGGACTTGCCAGGCGGGCACCCAGACCACCAAGCTATCTCGCCAGCCCGTGCTCTAGCTTTCTATAGGGAAGAGCCCCAAGGACTAAACTGACTGTCAGTATACAGGCGTCCACTTCATTGTATTAGTTTTCTAGGTGTCTTGCAGTAAACAACTTACCATGACAGTGTGGCTTACACAACTGAGTTCTTCTCCCAATTGTGGTAGCTAAGTGTCCAGTGAGAAAATTATTATTATTATTATTATTATCATTTCTTTTTCTTGTAGTACCAGAGATTGAACTCAGGACCTTGCGCTTGCCAGGCAAGCGCTTATTCTACTGAGCTATCTCCCCAGCCCCTACAAAATGAATTTTGTCATGATCCTGAAATCTGTAATCAAGTTATCAGTGGGGTTGGCTTCTTCTGAGGCTTTTCTCCTGGTCCTTATAAATAGCCACCGTCTTCCCCTGTCCTTGTGTGGCCTACTTCCTCCTCTGTAGAGGTGTGCATCCTGTCGCCTCTTAGGGTTCCCAGTCATGCTGGGTTAGGCCTACTGAAGTGACTTCAGTTTAATTTTCTCTTTAACGATCTTGTCATCTTGGATACAGTCACATTCAGAGGAGTTTGGTCATATTCTGGCAGTTAAGACTGAAACACATGTGTTGGGGGCTGCACAGTTTAACCTGTATCCCTTCCCTCTGTTTGTGCTCTGCTGCTTCCACAGTCTTCCTGTCTTTCTCACATTTTTACTCCATTCTAGCGATAGGGAATGACTGGAGTTTAATCTAATAGCTATATATATAGATATGGATTTGTGTATATTCAGTCAAGGGAAATTTGTCTTTTTTTTCTTTTTTTTTTGCGGAACCAGGGATTGAACTCAGGTCCTTTCGCTTGCCAGGCAAGTGCTTATTCCACTGAGCTATCTCCCCGACCCCGGAAAATTTGTCTTGCTGAAAGTAAAACTTAAGTATATTTGTGACTTCCTTTCTTTTTAAATCTGTACCCAAATCTTTTTTTATTTTTTAATGTGTTTAGTACATGGTCTCACTATGCAGCTTGGACTCATAGTGATCTTCCTGTTTTCAGCCTCCGCAGTGCTGGGATTACAGGTGTGTGCTGCCACATCCTGTTTTGGTGGCTGGCATGACCTGTGATATTGGGGATCGAACCCAGGTTCTTGTGCTTGCCAGGCATGCACTTATACTACTGAGCTATCTCCCCAGCCCTATTCTAAAATTTATAATATATTTTGAGTAACATTTCAGAGCTTAAGATAATATGATATTGAGGAATATAAATGCACACAGACATAGGTATACCTTGCTTATATGTATGGGAGCTAATAAGAGAGAAAACTTTTTCATTTCATATCCACCAGAATCTGATATAAATTGTATATGTATATGGTATGTTTGTATAGAATTTCTATAGCTTATTCTTGCCATGTTCAGTGTTAAGAATTTAATATAAAAAGAGGGGCTAGGGAGATGGCTCAGTGGAATAAGCGCTTCCCTGTCAAGTGCAAGGGCCTGAGTTCAATCCCCGGTTCCACCAAAAAAAAAAAAAAAAAAGATTCATTTAGAATCTTTAGAATCTGTGATATATAATCAGTCTATTTTTAGTGAAATGTTAGAAACCTGTTTTCCAAAATACATTAATATTGTTGTATCCATACAGTGGAATATTTTGAGGAAAAATACTAAAAGGATCTATATAAAGTTATTTTAGTGATTATCTTTCAATTAAACTTTTTTGTTTACTTTCTGGTTTTCTTGTAAAATGTATCACATTTATAGTAAGAAAAATCACTTTATAATTCTACAAAAGAAAAGATGACAAAAATTATGTAGTATTTACTGAGATTTTGGAATGGTCACCGAACTTTTAAAAATATTAAAAGTATAGTTTGCATATGTGAGGATGCACATAAGATGTTTTGACTCAGTACATGGAAAAACATGGATAAAAAATACAATTTATGGTGTTTCAGAATTAATAATTACAATACTTAAAGTTATATAATTGAGTGTGAAATGTTATCTTTTCTTGTTTCAGTTATTAATAGACCATACTTTACATTTATTCTTTTTCTGATATTTTTATGTATTTAGTACATTGTCTACAGGGTCTCTGTGTTGTCTACAGGGTCTCACTACACAGATCATACTCATAGTGATCCTCTTATTTATTCTTTTTCTTATACATAGTATTATAAGTTTAGAAAATTGTTGGATAGTATAGTTTTGAAATATTAGTATTTTAACATTATTTTTCTAATTCTTCAGGCATAGATGTGCCTGAAATCAACGAGGACCAGAGCAAAGTTTATAACAATGCCTTGATAAGTTGGCACCACCCAGGAAAGGATAAGGCTGATAACTATGTTCTCGAATATCGGAAGATGAACAGAGATGAAGACATATCGTGGAATGAGATCCAAGTGTGTGGCACGAGCAAAGTCGTCTCTGATCTTGAAGATAACAGTCATTACGCCTTCCGAGTGAGGGCGTACAAGGGCTCCATCTGCAGTCCCTGCAGCCGAGAGCTGATTCTTCATACTCCGCCTGCTCCAGGTACCGTCACTGTAGAAGCTAGCCTGTGTTTCCACATCTATATATGTGAAACAAGCTGTTGCTTTTTGAAGACTCTGGACAAGTAGATTCTGTACTGAGCTGGGACTCAGAAATGAACTGAATAATTGAATGTTACCCTGTAGATTGAGAACAGAATTAGATTTTGACTAATATCTATCAAGAGGAGAGCACAGAAGGAAGATACTTGAGTGAGCAGAGTTGGGATTAAATTATTTAATTTAAAGTTATATAATTAAATTATTAAATGATGCTACCTTAAAATTTTAAAATAAATTGGATGTGGTGATGCACATCTATAATCCCAGCACTCGGGAGGCTGAGGTAGGAGGATCGTTGGGAGACAGAGACCAGCCTGGGCCACAAAGTGAGCTCAAGACTAGCCTGAACTGCATAGCAAGACCCTGCTCAAAAAGGCAAAACAAAAAGTTTAAAATAATAAAATTAGAGTTTTTGGTCAGTTTCTGGAAATCTGTATTTGTAACATTTATTAGTATAGCATCCTGAAGTCTAATTTTGATTTAATCTGTTTCTAACTGGCCTAGGCTTTCTAGCTAATTCAGTGTGATTTTTTTTTTTTTTTTTTTTTTTTCTTTTGGCAGAACCGGGGATTGAACTCAGGCCCTTGCACTTGCCAGGGAAGCACTTATTCCACTGAGCCATCTCCCCAGCCCCTCAGTGTGATTCTTGACACATGGAGAAGGGTGATACATATTAGAACCATATGGTTAGTTAGCTTTGTTTCCCTTCCACTAAGAGCTCCTTCCCTCCCACTTCCAAGTTAAAATCCACTGATACTAAATACAGAGCGGAGGTTTTTATAGAATGAAAATGACGTACAGCATAGGTCATGTTCACAGTGTCTCCATGGACAAGAAACATTTAGAACTGAAGTTGTGCTGAGTCTTGTTAGCAGAAAAACATTTTGCCCTGTCAGTATTGGAAATCCCTTCATTTGCTTTTAGATCTCATTGCCCCCTGCCCATTTGTAGTGGCTTGGGTACCTATATTTTATGCAGTGAGCATGTCCTTACTTCCCTTTTGTGTTCAAAATAGAACAGTGAGCTGCCCATTATGTTTTTCAGGCACATTATGACTCCAAAAGAGAAATGTGTATACAGTTGTCTGAAATTATTTTTCTTAAATTTTAATGAAATGTAATAGTTTTAGGCAGAATCTACAAATGTAATATCTGAAGGTTTATACTATTTCCTCCCTTCTTTTCTAATCTCTTTAACCAAAAGTGGAAGCAGAAGGATCCTGGACATAGTTGCTATTTTCAGTAACATAGTTGGTGTGGGGGAGGAGGAAAGGGAAAGTTATGGAGCTATCTTCTTTTTCTCTGAGAAAAGCGGGCCCTTTAAGTTTATGGTGCGAACTGGGAGATTTTGGAGATTGAAAGAAAGCAGGAGTGATCATGTCTGAAGGAGTGGTCTGCCTGCTTAAGTGGAACGGCTCTAGCTTACTGGCATTTTTTTTTTTTTAATTGAGGTATGCTATAGACAAAATTAACCATTTTAGCCATTTTTAAATGTGTAGTTCAGTGACATTAAATATATTTACAACACTGTGTGGCTGTTATCACTTATAAATCCAGTACTTGTTTTATGATCCTAAACTGAAAATCTGCATGCATTGAACAGTAACTTCCTGTTCTCCCTGTCCCAGAGCCTGGTAATCTGTCCTACTCTTTTGTCTGTGAAATTTCCTGTTCTGTGTACCTCATGTAAGTGGAGTTGTGCGATATTTGTCCTTTCGCATTTGGCTTATTTCAGGTTTCATTCTTGGTGTAGCTTGTATCAGTATATCTTTTAAGGCCTTTAACTTCTTCCTTCTTAAAGCTGGATACCATTCTGCTGTACGTGTATACCATATTTTCATAACCATTTACCCACCTGTTGATGGACCTTTGCGTCATTTCTGGACTCCAAAGGTTTTTTTTGTTTTTTTGTTTGTTTGTTTTTTGGCGGAACCAGGGATTGAACTCAGGCCCTTGTGCTTGCCAGGCAAGCACTTATTCTACTGAGCCATCTCCCTGGCCCCCCCTTTGCATCATTTCTGTATTCCCTCACAACCAGTGTTAAACTTACAGGATTTGAATTGACAGAAATTACAGGAGTGATATCACCTCCATTCTGTAAATGAAGAGATTAAAGTTTAGGTCAAATGCTCCTGACGTGTTTGAGCAGGGCTGCAGACCTAGTTCTCTGACTCCAAAGCCCCTGCTGCCCCCTCCAAACCCTACCACGTTTCCCCCGTGTCTTACTTTCCCACCACTGGGACGGGATACTCAACACCCACCACTGTACACTGTAGGAGAGGCTGATCACAGTTTTGGCCCTGGTCTGCTTGCTGGGCCGCACAAACAGAATGGCAGAGGGGCCTGGTAGAGGAAAGTGCTCGGCAGGTGGCAGCCACGAAGCAAAGAGCCACGAGAGGACCTGGGGGAGAGATATGCCCAGCTCGTGCCCCAGTGACCCACCTCTTCAGCGCAGGCCCCATTTCCTCACAGCACATTCGGTTGAGAGCTCCTCAGCGATTCACCCACTGAGAGGTGTCGCATGCCCCTGTCCGGCTCCTTCCAGAAGCTCCGTGTCTGAACACATGGGACGTTTAAGGCTTAGTCTAGATCTGAAGCACAAGGTGATTTCTGAAGGCTGATTGATAAGCAGAAGACCTTATTAAAAATAGCTAAACTTTCCTAAAAATTTGGAATATTTTTAAAAATGAGTAGGCTATTTATGAAAACGTGTTACCTTTTGAAGATAAAATAACAGATGCACTAAGTGTGAAATTTCTACTCTCTGTTTCAGAGAGGTGCATTTATAGATTTTCATTTACATTTAAAATACTTTGCTGCTTTTGAGCTTTCTGAAGATTTTCCAGTATAGAGAATGTACTGAAAATTATTGCTAGGTTGAAAGTTTTGATTGATGTAGTGATCTGGAGTGGCAGGATACGTATCCTTCTCTTTTCAGTAATCTCCATTTGAAAAACATTTAAAATTAGAAATGTTAGTAATGATTTTTAGGCTAACATTAGATTAATTTTAAACTCTTTTAGTTTTCAGTTTCCTTTTTGATGAAAAATGTGGCTATAATAACGAACACCTCTTGCTAAACTTGAAGAGAGACCGAGTGGAGAGTAGAGCTGGATTTACTACTCTGCTTGCTGCGGATCGTATCCAAGTGGGCTACTACACAAGCCTAGACTATATCATTGGAGACAGTGGGATTACAAAAGGGAAACACTTCTGGGCCTTCCGTGTGGAACCATACTCGTATCTGGTGAAAGTAGGAGTTGCTTCCAGCGATAAACTACAAGAATGGCTCCGTTCTCCCCGGGATGCCGTCAGTCCAAGGTAGAGTCTTGATTCATCCCACACTTAATAATTAGTTTAAAAGTAAATACTCTTGGGGCAGGAATATAGCTCAGTGGCACAAATGCCTGCCTGGCAAGCACAAAGTCCTGAGTTTGATTTTCAGTATCCACAAAGAAGAAAGAAAGTAAATATCCTTGTTTATCAAGGATAAACTGAAAATAGAATTAGGTTACTTAATTATGTATTTCTTTGATTTAGGTATTTGGGTTGTGCTTATTTGGTTGGGTTAGGGAAAGAGTCAAGTTGCCTTGAATTGACACATTGAATAATGAGATTTTTCAGTTAAGTTTTGATATGATTGGAAATAGCTTTAAATTTTAAAAATCTTTCACATGGTACCTAAATTAAATCATTGAAAAGCATCCAAATTCATAGTAAAATGATCTAATTGCCATCCTTTTTTATTTTCATTAGAACCTATTTGCAATATATAGTGATTGAATTTGTTGTGGGGAATTGGTGCATGTGCGTATCTTTTTACAGCCTCTTGCCATCCTTCACCATTGATATTAAGTTGTTCTTTTGTTATGCAGTCAAATTTCATTAAACTTTGCCATTATGTCTTTCACAAAATTGTGTTTTTAGACATTTTGCCTCAGCAGATAATTTCAATTTTTGAGACTAAATAATGGAAATTATAGTGTAGCTTCTTTTATATGGGTTAAAATAAACTAGCCATAAATAAGTTTTGGCCATTTATGTGAACAGTATCGCAGATAAAAAATCTGGGAGGGAACACTTTTTGCACAGATATACGAAACATACATAACACTAAGTAGTACAGAGATGTGGTTAAGCTTAGTGGTATCCCCACTTGGTAAGATTATGGCTAAAGGGGGCTTGTGGGTTAGCTCAGTTGTTTAAAGCTCCTGCTTGGGCAAATCAGTCAGGTGCTAGAGACCAAGGTTCGATCCCCCGCTGCACCAGACCTGCCCTTAAGGCAGCCTGAACCAGTCCATAAAAAGAAAAAATAGTAATAATAATAATAATAATAATGGTTAAAAGTTTGTATTATGAAAAATGCTAGGAGAAAAACCCTGATTAAAATTGTTGACATACTATGGGATCATAGTATATATAAGCTATGGGATCATACTGTATATAAGCTATGCATGGGGGAAAAAGGATTGTGTATCAAAATTTATTTTACAATAGAAGGAATAACAACTTCACAATACTTTCTTAATGTAGAAATCTCAGGAGATAAAGCTTTCAAAAGGATAATGAAACAGGTTTTTTGTTCTCTTGTGTTAATTTTGTAGCGCCTGTTTATTTTTCTTAGCTTGATAAGTCCTTGGAGTAAGACATACATCCTTTTGTTTTCTTCTACATTTGTGTGCTATAATTGTTGAAGTCCTTGACCAGTTCCATTCACTCCCTTTGTCCCTGCTTTATTTCTAGGAGACCAAAGTTGTCTTAAGTTCTCATTTGTATACATATCTAGGTAAACGTGAATAAGGTCTGACAATGAAGTCCGCGGCTGTGTACATGGTATAATTCTAAATGGTAGTGTACCATCTTCATGCTTTAACTATGCTTTAACGGACAATTTTGCTGTAAAGATTGTCATTTTAAATCAATATACAGTTTATTGTGCAAATGTTTTGAAGATACTTGAAGACTTATAGATGAAGATAACAGCTACTGTGTCTGTGCTGTGTTTCAGATATGAACAAGACAGTGGGCATGACAGTGGAAGCGAAGATACCTGTTTTGATTCTTCACAGCCTTTTACCTTAGTTGCTATAGGCATGAAGAAATTTTTTATACCCAAGTCACCTACTTCTAATGAACCTGAAAATAGAGTTCTGCCCATGCCAACAACTGTAGGGATTTTCCTTGACTGTGATAAAGGCAAAGTGAGTTTCTATGATACGGAGCACATGAAATGTCTCTATGAACGCCAGGTAGACTGTTCGCACACAATGTACCCAGCATTTGCATTAATGGGCAGTGGAGCAGTTCAACTTGAAGAATCTATCACCGCAAAATACCTGGAGTACCAAGAAGATATGTAGTTTCAGTATCTGACATGATGAAGATGAAAAATGTGAACAGCGCAATGCCTTGGTATTAGCCTTTATAACTAATTACATGTCATCTAGCTCTTCTGGCACGGTATTTGTTTTTGGTGTATGATTCTTTTAAAAAAAAAAACACACACAAAACCTAAACGGCCTTATCCCTTAGATGTTGTTCTGATCTTCACAAATGATTTCAGTGAAGACATTTTTTCCTAATTAATACTTGATGGTTAAATTTGCAACTGGATTATATTTATTTTTATGTGCAGGGAATCTAATTTATTTATGTCAGCTGGTATTGCTAATACATTCCTTAAGGGGTTGGGGGAGGTATACAGAAGTATTTATTATGCTTCTTTTATATTTGACTTTTCATTTTTGTATCATTTAAGTCTTAAGATATTTTAAAATGCCTGTGGATAGAAGTTAATATTAAGGAGTGTGTCTCACATTTTAAGTTTTAGTGGGAAAGCAAAGCTATGCGTAGGTTTCTTTTTAAAGGCCATAAAAATGGTAGTATGCTTGAGTGGAAGATTAGGTACTTTAAGGTGTGTAACAAACTATTAAGCATATATTGCCTGGAGAGTGACTGCTACTGGTTTGGTTTGGCTTTGCTTGCAGTACTGGAGATTGAGCCCAGGGCCTTTGCATTACACACCCAGGTCTTTATTTGTTTTAGTTTTAAGACAGGGTCTTGCTAAAATTGCCCCGGGCAGAATTTGAACTATGAGTCCTGCTGTGTCAGCCTCCCTCAGTTCTGGGATTACAGATGTGTGCCACCATGCCTGGCTTGTTTCGTATTTAAAAAGACCACAAACTATATCGATAAAGATATTTTTTAAAGAGTTCCCTTAGCTCGATGCCCATTAACTGGCATATGTAATAAGCATGATTTCCTGCAGAAAATATGAATTCTTGGCTAGCTTACAGAATTTCACTTTATAGTTTTTTTTTTTTTTTTAATTTCCTGCTCTCTGAAAATGTTTACATCATAGAATTATTTTCAAGAAATATTAATGAAGATGGAATATTGGAGTCATATTTATTCTTTTGTGCTCTTCTGTGTCTTGTGTTTTTCATGTTTGGCACAAATGTTAGTGTATCAGATTTTCCTGGTTTATGTTTACAGATCTGAAAAGCTCATGCTATATTTTTAGTAGCATTAAATACATTACAAAATGTGGAACAACTAATTGGCCATATGGAACTTTTTGCAGCTTATTTTTGGTAAGAAGAATCTGTAGTATAAGCAAATAAAAATATAATGGTTTAGGAATAGTAGCTGAAATCATAATCATACCTTTTAAAATACTGACATTTCTTTCAGTTGGAACAATTACCTCTGTCCTTCATTTCTGAAAGATGTCTTTTAAGATAAGTGACTTTTATTTAAACTTACTTTTTAAGTTAAAATATTCAGAAACCATGACTGTTAAATAGCATCGATCAGTTATGGAATGCTATTGATACATTTTAACAGAGTAACTCAAACTCTTGGGGGCTGTTTTTTATTCTCATTTTTAAGAGAAATCCGTTATTCAGGTTAATAGCACTACATTAAACCCTGCCCCTGCCCCAGTAGAAGATACTGCAGAGAATGTGTGTTCAGTCATCTTTATTGCTCCCCATCTGTGACTAGCACTTTATGACGTAGGCTGATTTGCATAATCATGCAGTGTTATGTTAATCATTGTGCAATAGAACTGCTGAAAGTCGTAGGTATGCTTATGTTTAATACTCGAGCTTTGGATAAGCATATACCATGTAGACATTTTTAAATATAAAGCTTTAACAGGAATAAAAAAACTTTCAAACATTGTAAAATTATAAATTATTCAGCAGAATTTGTTTTGTTTTCAGTAAAAGTTAAAAGAAAGTCAAGGGTAATTATTTAAGTCTCCATTTTAGGAATTTTTAGTGTGTTTCTGTGGAAAATTGAAACTATTTATTACAAATATTTAATTGACACATTAATGTAAAGCTAAAGCTTTATAAAATATTATTTTGGGCTTCTTTATTAGTTGAGTTCTATGGCAGTGATCTTTAGAAAAACTTAACGTGAAATCTTTCACTTGGTTAGTTGTTCAGTATGTCTTAATATTTGTTTTCTGATCCTTTGATTAGATTTTGACCCAGTGATCATCACTTAGTTCACATTCATGCTGTTCTGGTAGTTGTGGTTGTGGTAGTTGTTGTTGTTGTTAATGGATTATAACAAGTTACTAATATTTAATGTGTCCTAATTTTTTTCTTTGGTTAAATAGATTCAAGGCTATTACTAAATAATAACTCTTGTATCCACAGTTACTTTTTAAGAAAATAATTGTCATTTTTGGGATCCAGAATAGTAGGGTGTGTTAAATCTTTTGCCAGAGCTTATAATCTAAACTCTGTGTAAATATCTGATGTAAGAATATAATCAATCTTACTGCTACAAAAAAGAATTGAGAGCCACTATAATAGGCAAGAATACTATCAAGAAACTATATATTTGCATTCATTTTAAAGGAGTTTATCTTCTTGTTTGTGGTAATATCCTGAGGAGTTTTTGGGTTTTTTTATTACTAAGAATTTTGAACCTAGGGCTACTAAGTTATAGCCCCAGACCTTTTTATTCTGAGGTAGGGTCTTGCTAAGTTGTTTGGGCTAACCTTGAACTTGTGATCCTCCTACCTCAGCCTCCCAAACAGCTGGGATTATAGGCGTCTCTATCAGGTGTCATTTTTGTTTTTAAAAAATAGACTTATAGAGTTGTTTTAGATTCAGAACAAACTAAAGAGGAAGGTAGAGAGGCTGACACCTCTGGCTGCATACAAATAAGGGCTCCTGGTTATCACAACCCTCACCAGGGTGGTGTGTTTGTGTCGACCAGTGGATTTACATTAACACCTTGCTGTCACTTGAAGTTCATAGTTTATGTTAAGGTTCACTCATGGTGGTGTACATGCTGTGGTTTTGAGCAAATGTATAATGTTATTTGTTCGCAGTAGATTGTATAGAATAGTTTCACTGCTCCAAAAATCCTGCGTGCTTAATGTCTGTTCATCTGTCCCACCCTCTCTCTAGTCCCTTGAAAACACTGATCTTTTTACTAAATTAGAGCTTTGCCTTTCTCAGAATGTCATTAGTTGGAACCATAGTCTGTAGCCTTGGCTTCTTTCCTGATGTACACGAAGTCCTGTCCATGTGTTTCGTAGCTTTACAATCCATTTCTTTCCAGTGCTTACTATTTCATTGCCTAATGTGCTGATGTAACCATTTACCTATGGAATGATATCTTGCTTCCAAGTTCTCACAATTATACATAAAAACTGTTATAAATATCCATGTGTAAGTTTTTGTGCAGACATAAATTCTCGGTTCTTTTGGGTAAATACCGAAAAGATCAATTGTTGGATCATATGGTGCAATAGTTTAGTTTTGTAAGAAACTACCAAATTATCTTGCAAAATGTCTGGACCACTTTTCATGCTCTAATTAGGCTTTCCCCCTTCTGTCTGTATCTCCTAAAGATTGAGATACTAACAACTGATGGGCAGTTCTGCATGCGAGAGCATATGGACTGTCGGACGTCACTGGCATTGTCACGAAATGAGGTAGCTTCTTTTGGAGCCCGTCTGCGAGTCAGGATCTGTTGGTCTTTTCTCAGGCAAAACTTCTTACTCTTCTGTCTGGGTAGTGGGCTTTTCGGAGCCATGCTGGAGGCTAAGCTGAGGCTCCCTTGTTCTGTAAGCACACTGTACTTTCCTGGTCTCTCCTGTGTACTTTGTGCCCTGGGTGAGAGGCAGCCCCAATTTTCTTCAGAATCTCTATCTCCAGTCTTCCTTGCAAGTGGCGACAGTGAGTCAGGAGGAGGAGGGCAGCAGTAAGGATGAGATGTACACAATTTTTAATGACTTTTATCTATTTTTCAGATGTCACATTTAAAACCCAGCCACCTGCTCTTTAGATTACACCTCTCTACCCCCATTTGTACTTCTCGTCCTCTGCTTTGTTTTTTATGGGACTTGTTTTATTTATTTATTTATTTATTTATTTTTGAGGGAGCGATAATGGAAATCAAACTCAGGACCGCACGCTTGCCTGTGCTGCTGAGCTATATCCCTGGCCTCTCTTTCATTGTTTTGGATTTTTGGTTGTGGGGATCAGATGTTAGGGCTGCGTGCATGCCAGGCAAGCCCTCTGTCACTGAGCTACACGTGGCCAGCTCCAAATTTTACACTTGTTTTCTGTAAAATGTAAACTTATGAAGGCAGGATTTTAACTCAGTTTTTTATTGCTGTGCCTCCCAGATTGGTTTTCAGGCCTGTGACTCACCTCTGCCCTAGTATGAGTACTTCTACTCTAGAAACTATATTTCTCAAAGAATTTATTGGGTTATCAGTTCTGCCAATATCATTGATAAGCAAGTGTTTGAATTGCTTTTTGAAGCATGCCTAACAGGGCTTGAAATTGCTGGTTGGTAGGGTATTCTATAAACATCCTTGAAGCTGAGAACAGTGGACTTGCAGCCCCAGCTGCTTGGTGGGCCCTGAATGTGCTCAGAAGCCAGTTTGGACAACACCCTGAGACACCCCTGGTGGTGGAGGAGTCCTTAAGGAGTTGTAAGGACTAGTACATTGTAGTCTGTGAAGAGCTGACTTTAGAGTTGACTTTACTTGTTTATAGGTTTCTTTGGGCAAGGCCCCCATAAACATAAAAATGTGGGCAATAGATCTTTTTTTTGTTTTTCACTACAGGAATTGTCACAGTACTTAGTGCTCATTTGACCTGACAGAATACTCTACAGAACACGTTGCACAAACACAAACAATACAGATTTAAGGACTCTGACTGGTTTAGATTAGTGTCTGAGGTTTGTCACATAATAACTGTGATTTTAGATATGTTGTTAACCTGCGAGCTTAATCTCATCTGTGATAGTTCCTACATAAATTAGAAAACATTTACCAAGTATGTAACAGCATCTGATGTCTGATGTCACTGTATGATAGCTTCACAAATATATCTGCTTTTAAACAACGTTCTGAAAAATAGAATTCTAACCTCGTTAAGGTTCCCTTTACAAATGACAAAAATACACTTAAATAGAAAGTTATATGAGGAAAATTGTAAGTAGTGCATTCAGCTGTTTGTGTAAGACGGGACACACCATCTTTGTTGTAGTTGCCATTTCGCTTGCCAAGTGGCCCTGGCACAACATCCCAAGCACAAATAAAGTTATGAAGATCAGCTCAGTGGAACAAATTAGAACAATACATGGTGCAGTAACTTGTTGTTCTACTTTTATTTGGTTATGAAATTTTTATTTTTCATAAAAACAAAAATTAAGAAATCACCCCAAAATGACTCATGGACTGTTAACTAATGTTGAATGTGTTAATTATTTCAGAGAAAGACCAGGCATGTTCTGTCTGACTGCCACCTATCTTTGTCTAGCTTAGCATAAAACGCCTTCCTCCTGTCCTGGTGTGTAGTGGTGTTTCTGTTATTCTGCCACCCAAGACATGCTCTTGTCCATAGACTAATAAATGGCATTTTGTGGAAATCTAGATCTGTCTGCCTCTTTTTTTTAAATCTCTGCACCCCTTCCACCTCTGTTGCTGCTTCTCATATGCCAATACTGGGTTTTTCTTTTTTTTT